CTATAAGTATATATTTCATACAGAGGCCACTGAACAAGTTTCTGTTTTCTCTTTAGATTGGTGTAGCATGCTCTTTGTATCCTTCTGCGTTACATGGTGCGTAATCCGATGAGTCCTTCCTTCTAGGTCACAGGGGTTCTTAACTTGGGTTTGTGACTTTTTTTTTAAGTTTTTGATAACTATTTCAGTTTTGTAATTTCATGGTTTCTCTCTCTTTTTTTTTTTTAAATTTAAAACATTATCCTGAGAAGGTAGATTTCACCAAACTGCCAAAAGAAGTCAATGACAGATGAACCTGTCCTGTAGGATAAGGGACAACCATATTTTTTCAGTAATGGGCCAGATGTTTACAAATTGTTATGTGTGAGTAGTTCATAAGTTTATTTTTAACTATATTCATTTGAATTTGAATTTCATTACTAATTAATTTAAGCCTTCTAGCAAGACTCCTGATGACAGGCAAACAATGGTAGTAGTGAGTAACTAATTAGGGGGTATATTTATTTTCATTTATATTGATATATTTATAATTTGTCCAGCTTTGAACTGCTAGAGTTTACTATCTAATTTAATTGTCCAATCACTTAACTGCTAGTTTGGAAATAGATGTTGAACCCTGTTGGCCGTAGATATGCTGAACAAAAATTCACTAGGCTACAACATTTTTAAATTCTGGCCTTCTTTGGGACTGTGATTAGATTTTTTAAAGGTAGGAATTTAATGAAATCCTTATTTCATACTTAGAATTTTGCCTGGAAATATGGAAAAATCAATGATGGTTGATTGTTTAGAGAAATACTTTTCATTTAGGTAGAAGTTTATTTAAGGATTAAAGCTTTTAGGGTTATAGAAGTTCACATGAAAAACAACATTTGTTTAGTGCTTTAAGGTTTTCAAAATTCAACGTACTTCTCATTTGATCCTCACAGCTTCTCTGTGAAATAGGTGCAGCTGAGGAAACTGAGCTACAGAGTTGCCTAGTGCCAGACGGCTAATAAGGGATTGAGATAGGCTTTGAATTCAGGCTTTTGAGATTCCAAGTCCAGCACTTTATTGACTCATCACCTAGCTGAATTAATTTTGACTTATTATCTTTAAGATACTACTGTTTTTCTGCTAGGCAGAAGGCTATCATCTTAATTGTTTCAAGTAATTTCTTTGACAAATAAGAATTTGAAGTGTTGAGCTTTATTGTTTTATCCTTAAAGATTCTTTTTTGATTCATCTTCTTTGGAAAGCATTTTCATTGCTGACTTCTCTTTAATGCTGTACAGGGGAATTCTTGGAAAAAAATTTTTTTTGAGATAAAGCATTTATAACATAAAGGTAAAACCAATTAATCAATACAGCATTCATTAAGGCCCTACCATGTCCCCAGCACTGTGCTAAGGACTGGGCATACAAATAGCAAAAAAAAGAAAAGAAAGAAAGAAAAGAAAGACAGTTCCTGCCCCCAAGGGGAGGAACACTGCACACAAAAAGGAAACTAAAAGCATGGGAGAGGGGGTATGGGGGAAAAGTCAGAGAAGTCTCAAAGTAATGCAGACAGGTTAGATTAAGTAAAGATACGATTGTTGAATGTTTAAAAAAGATCCAGAAATACAGATTCCTTTTACTCATGAAGTTCTTAAAAACTTGTGTATTGCAACAGTATTAAATCAGTTTTTTCCAATAACTTTAATATTTCAGAGATAAATTCTAAGAGAGAATTTTTGTTCCTTCATATGATAAAAATGTCATACTTAGAAATACTCACATTAATATCCATCAAGCAGGGTCCTGCCTTTTCCAGTACTGGACCTTTGTTTATTTAATTCCTCTCTACAAGCTTTGCCAGAAGTTGTTCAAATGCATAATCCTGTTAAAAAAGTTATTTTTTATTATTTCAGCATCAGATTGGTCTCCTACAACGATGCAGCCCTTCACGAACTAGTATAAAAGTTTTTGTAATTGCTGTGATCAAAAGAACTTATCACCTGGTAGCCAGTCTTTGGATGATAGCCCTCTCCACTCTCTCCACTCTCTCCACACACTGGCCCTCTGAGAGACACATGATCTGTTGCTGGGGTCCCATATTTGAAATTTCCAGAGCAGAGATTCTTAACTTTTTTGTGTGTTATGGACCCACTTTGTCAGTCTGAAGTCTTTGGATCCCTGTTCAAAATAATATGAAATGTGTAATTTAGTCAGTAAGCATTTATTAAGTCCTCACTTTGTGTCAGCTTGGGGCAAGTAGGTGGCACAGTGGATAAAATACCCTTGGGGCACATAGATGGTGCAATGGATAAAATGCTGGGCCTGGATTCAGAAGGCCTGAGTTCAGATTTGACCTCAGACACTAGCTGTGTCACCCAGGGCAAATCACTTAACTCTGCCTCAGTTTCTTCATCTGTAAAATGAGCTGGAGAAGGAAATGGCAAACCACTCCAGTGTATTTGCTAAGAAACCCCAAATGGGGTCATGAAGAGTCTGACACGATTGAAAATGAGTAAACAGGAAAAACGACAATTGTGTAATATACTGAGGGTATGGTACCAGAGAAAGGCAAATGACAGTCCCTGCCCTCTAGCAGCTCATAATGTAGGGCAGATTAGAAACATATACAAACAAGCTGTATATAGTGCAACTAGGAAATAATTAACACCAGGAAGCCACTGGAATTGAGAAGGATTGGGAAAGGCTTCCAGTAGAAGACGGGATAAACTGCCTAGGATTACAAAGGAAACCAAAAACCCCTGGTGTAGAGCCTGATATAACTTGTGATTTCCTGACTTATCCTTTGAAAACCCAAGGTCAGTTGCATGTTAGTGAGAAATAATATTAACAGCTTACATTTCTAAACTGCTTTAAGTTTTAATCGAATGCTTGCAACAGCCTTTTAAGGTAATGCAAGTATTTATTTCTGTCATTTTATAAAAGCAGCTATGTAGTATAGAAGCAAAAAAGTTGAATTTCATTTAGAAGAAAAAGAATTAACCTTAGTTGTAAGAAAAAAGTACACTTGAGCGAGTTATTTGGGGGGCATATCTAAATATAGTACAGAACACACTTGAGTGTGTGTAGGGACATACTTGAATTTTGTTTCTAAGAACTTTGAATTATGCTTTAATCCCTCATTGTGCTGGAGTCCTTTCTCTATGTCCTAGTGCAGCAGATTTTGTGAAATTGTTGTTTTGTGATTTGTTATATTATATAATACCACTAGAATAATTCTAATGTTTTAAAAAGATGGGAGTTTCTGTCAAGACTGTCATGCAGTTTCCTCAAAACCACCTAGTATTCTCTTTCTTCTACCAGTTTAGTTCTAGGTCCAGTTTGTCATCCATGTAAAATTCAATATGAGTACTAATTGACTAACCCACAGGAGTTAACTCATACACATTTTATGTCGTATATTTAGTAGGCATTGTTTGATCACTTAGTTTTTCCTGGGTGACTTGTTAAGTTGATCTTTCTCTTTTGAGGATTAATGAATCCCATTGGGTAGTCTCTGTAGTATTTTGGAGAGTAATGCAATCCAAACAATGTCATTCACAACAAACAGGAGCATCTATTTGGAGACTCTTTTCTATTTCAAACAACAGTGTATTAAAGTTATGTTATATCTTCTCATTTTGTCTGTCTACTGTATTTAACACAATGCAATATTTAGGCCCTCATATATATTTGTTAAATTGAATTATATCTTTATTATGGATAAAGCAACACGAGAGGCAGGCAGTGTGCTACAGTGGATGAATACCTTGGAGTCTGAGTAACTTAGGTTTGAGTCCGGCCTGTGATCCATAATGACTGTGACCAGGGCAAATCACTTCTAAGATTAAAAGTTGCAAAACAGTGGCTAGAATCTGAGCTTCATTTTGCTAGAGAGAGTTTGACTCACTCAGGATTCCCTAAGGGGAGAAAAACACAGCACTGAAGGAAAAAAAGTAATGTCAAAATGTTTCTTTGATCCTGGGGTTCTGGTGAGCATTCATTTTATCTTGACCATAATGCCACTTCCATGCCTTATTCATGATTTTTCTCCCCCTCTATATACCCCCTCCTCCTCTAACTCTAAGAAGAATAGTGAAATTAATAATATCATTCCTGGACATATTGTCCTATGCTTTTAATCATTTTTCACTCTTACAAACACCACTGCGGTCATCATTTCCCTATTAGAATGTAATTTTCTTGAACATAAGGACTGTCTGTTTTCCTGGTATTTATGTTCTCAGTACTTAAAACTTAAAGCATGGTACTAAGTTTTGGCACGTGGTAAACACTTAATAAATTCCCTTTATTTGGGCCTGTGACTTTGTCAATGTAAGGAACTATCAAATGCTGAGCAGCTTGGCATCTTCTCTGCAATTTATAAGCTTAGAAAATTACCTGGGACACTGAGAGGTTATATGACTAGCCCAGAGTCACACATCTAGTATGTGTCAGAGGTGGGAATAGAAATCTGGTCTTCCTAGTTGAAAGCTGATTCTTTCTTTATCCACTACATCATGCTTCATTTCATGTAGCAGTAACCTACCTTTTTAGATGAAGTTTGGATATAATACAATTTTGTCAGATTATTAATATTATTAAAATTAATTTTTAGGCACCTACTAATCTAAATGATCTTGCTATTTAGATGTGTAAGATTCCTGTGCTTAATATTCTGTCATAGAGGTGAGCTTTTTTTTTTTTGACAGTAGCTCACTAAGTGTGGTAATCCTGGTAAGTGAGCTTGAAGAAAGACCCAGAAAGCTCTGAGTAATGAACATACTAAACTTAGAAAGCCATATCACCAGAAAATTGGCCATTAGCTAGGTTTTATGGTTGAAGCAACCCTTAAGTCTTTTAGATAGGATTGTGATTTGTGTTTGTAGAGTTTGTAGACACATGAATAAAATCACAGGTCATTTAAAGTATCACAATAAAAATCTATATAAAACTGACTAGAGTTTAAAGATGGAAACCAAGAAGTTTGAGAATTTTAACAATCTTTTCTTTTTTTTTCTTAACAGGATGGTATAACTTCCTTGTACTTTGATCTGAATTTTCCTGCTCTGAGGAAAAACAAGAATATAGACAATTTCTTAATTAGATGTAAGTTGCATCAAACTTTTTTTTTTTTAACATCTATACAGCCACATCTATGGCTATTTCAAAGGAGTCATAAAAATATCTTCAGATTGTAATGGTATTAAAGTTTTATTTAGACTTTTGTTAGAATTATGGATCTGTTAATTTTACAGCAGAATAATGCACAATTATATTTCTAATTGGAGTTCCTAGAAGTTTAACAAACATTGACAGGATATAGAGAATAATTACTTCTCAATTAATTAGATCATAGATTCAGAACTGAAAAGGACTTTAGAAGTTGTCTAATACTATCCCTTCATTTTACAGATTAGAAAACTTACATCTAAATGTAAAAGTCATTTACACGAGCTTATACACATGTCATTATGAGTTATTAAAAGAACTCTGGAGAGAAAATTGTTTTTATTCTTTGACCACTGTAATGTTTTTTCTTTATGTTAAGCAGAATACTTGGTGGGTTACTGTGGATTCATCAGTAATGTAATCATTCCTTTGAAATATTAATAAAATAAATATGATGTCTTTTGCCTTGTAAATGATATTATCTAATACATATTTAATGATATTGATAACAGCTTGCAGGGATATAAATATATCAAAGGATATTAAGCATGAAAGTTTTTTTTTAAAGTCAACATAACATAGGTACACAGTAAACAAATTCACTTATAATAAATGGATTTTAAACATATAATATAAGTAGTACTAATTAATGTTCTGGTTAGTCAAATAACCATGGAGATAGAATTAGACTATATAGACTATGTAGTTACTGATTTGCAAAGAATTATAATTCTAATATGTAATAAACTTAGTAAAACTAGAGATAGTGACTGTGATTTTATTGATTTGGAGACCTCTCAGCTGAGTAAATACATTTTATCTGTGCAGGCTGACGTCTTTCCTGCAAAATCTATTCTTAGCGAGTTGCCTAGAGCATAGACAGGGTAAGTGATTTGTCCAGAGTCATACAGCCAGTATGTGTCAGCATTAGGATTTGATCCCAGGTCTTATTGTTCTAGAGAGGAGCTTGCAATTACACTAATATTCTTTTTGTGGTTATTTAAAATAAACACTCTAGGATCTTATAGTATATGCTAAAGAGTCATCATTATGATTATCATTATGTCAGCTATCAATTCTATTAGTGAAACCAAGACAGGATTATGATAGAACACTCAGATCGATAAAACACTAGATAACTATCTTTTTTTTTTCTTTTTTTTTTTTTGAGACTCAGTATATTTTTAATGAGTGTCACAGAAAGGTACTGGGGGACCACTTACTTTCAATACTGAATGAAGTCAATTGCCCTCCATTTATCCAAATCCACATTCTGCTATTGTATTGTTTAATATTACCTAAAAATTTTCCTTTATCCTTATTATGAAAGAAGCATCTCCTATTTATGTTTCAACTGTGCTTCTTGAGCATTTTTTAAAAATTTAATTTATTTTTAGTTTTCAACATTCACTTTCATAAGCTTTTGAGTTTTAAATTTTCTCACTCTCCCTCCCCTCCCACCTCCCCAAGATGGCATGCAATCTGATATAGGCTCTACATATACATTCTTATTAAACATATTTTCACATTAGTCATGTTGTAAAGAAGAATTAGAACTAATGGGAGGAGCCATGAAAATGAAGCAATAAAACAAAACAACAAAGGAAAAGGAGAGCAAGTAGTATGCTTTGATCTGCATTCAGACTCCATGGTTCTTTATATGGATATTGATAGCATTTTTTATCATGAATCTTTTGGAGTTGTCTTAGATCAGAGAGATAAACTATCTTTTACTATAACTTAATTGCAAAAAAACCCCACAAACTTTGTAGTCAGTTTTGTTTGAAGGCAGTTATCTGAAATAAGGTGAAAACAGTGATCTGTTGATTAATGAATTTGTTTATTATGTGCTTACTCTGTGATAAACCCTGTATTCAGTGCTCAGGCTACAAACCGAAAATTGAGACAGTCTCTGCTTTCAAGTAGCTCAGGAGGTCTTATGTTTGTGTTAATTTCGTAGCAGATTGAAAATCCAAGTAATACTTAAATTCTAACAAGGAAAGTAATAGAGTAGGTGGCAAGTCTCTGAGAACTTTGGGGAGTAGTGGCAGGTCAGACATCTTGGACCAAGAAGATTATGGTTCCAAAGATCAGAGCATTATAATATTAGATTGCCTTAAGACATTGATATGAATTTTCAAAAGCTTGATCCACACAGGTTTAGTTGAAAGCCCAAACCAGTTCATTGGACTGTATTTTTTTTTTACAACTATGATTACTAATTATAGAATTTGTTTTTATGAGTATCTATATTTTTCAATTCGTTGTAGATGAGAGGACTGTGACAAAAATTGGATGCCTACAGATGAAGGCAGAAGATTTTGATGTTATTAAAGTAATTGGAAGAGGTGCTTTTGGTGAAGTTCAGTTGGTAAGAATTTAGTTTGCCTGTTTTTATTCCTTTATTTATCATTGGGGGATGGTGGTGAGATATTTTGTAATATATATAACATCAGTATCAAAGGTCATATCATTAAAAAGTTAAAACAAAAGCAGGTCATATACTTTTTCCAAGTTTTGAGTAGGCATGAAATTTTGACCAGAAAAAAATATTAAGGGATAGAAGCAACTGTAGAACTTAAAATGGAAAGTTATTACATAAATTCAAAAGCTTTCTCATAAACAAATTTAATGCACATAGGACAAGAAAGGAAATGGTTGTTGGGGGGGGAATTTCTATCAAATATCTCAGGTAGGGGTCTGATATTCATGGTATATAAACATCTAACAAATATTTAAGTGGTCAAAAGAAGAATTTCATTCTAGTAACAACAATGTGAAAGAATTCTTTAAATCACAAATAAGAAGAGAAATGAAAATCAAAATAAGGAAGGTAGGAAGGAAGGAAACAAGCATTTATTTAGACTTACAAATACCTCATTTGATCTTCCCAGCAACCCTGTGATAGGTAGGTGTTATTATTATCCTCATTTTACTGGTGAGGAAACTGGGAAAGACAGAAATTAAATTGATTTGCCTAGGGATCACACAGTAAAATGGCTGAGGCTGGATTTGAACTCAGGTATTGAATTTTGATCTAGCACTCTATCTATTTTGCCACCTTGCTACCTCAACCCTGAGGTTTCACTTCATACCCAGCAAAGTTGACAAAAAGATGCCAACAGTTAACATTGGGCCAGTTGTGGAAAGATAGGTACACTAATGTACTGTTGGTGGAACTATAAATTGGTCCATCCATTCCGGAAAGCAATTTGGAGTTATGTAAAGCAAGTGACTAAAATGTTCATACCTTTCGACCCATAGATTCCATTGCTAGGCATGTATCCCAAGGAGTCAGTCACAAAAAGAAAGGCCCCATATAAACCAAAATACTTACAGTAGTATTTTGGTTGTATCAATGGATTGGAAACAAAGTAGGTTCTCTTCAATTTGGGAATGACTAAACGAGCTGTGGTATATGAATGTAATGCAATATTATTGTGCTATGAGAAATAACTAATGAATATAGCATATGATGTGAAGACTTATATGAACTAATACAAAATTAAGTAATAAGCAGAACAAAAAAAAGCATACTACTTGAATACAGTAATGTAAATGAAAAGAAAAATAACAAAAGAACAGTAACCAAATGCTGCAAAATTATTATAACCAAGTTTGGCCTCAAAGAAGAAATATAGATGGCACTTTACCTTGCTTCTTTCTTGAATGTGGTGACTGTGGATGTAGGACACTACATATAATAGTAGACTCTATAATATGTTGGTTAGTTTAGCAAAACTTCTCTCCCCCTATATTGTAAGGAATAGTTATAAAGGAAGTGGTTGGAGAGTTTTAAAGTGGGAAATAGAGGTGATATAAAAACACAGCAAGTTAATAAAAATTTATTTTTAAAATGCGTTAATATCTACGGAAGCATAATTCAGTAGAAAAGGCACTGATTTGGAGATAGAAGACCTAGGTTCATATTCTAGCTTTGTTATATATAGGTTGCTTAACCTCCCCAAGCCTCAGTTTATTTATCTGTAAAATGAAGAAATTGGGCTAGATGACTTCTAAGGTCCCTTCCAATTTTTAGTTTATGACCCAATGAACTAGAAATTTTTAGCATTATTTATCTCCCATATCTCCTTTCCCCCCCCAAGCACATCAGCATATGGGGATTACAAGATGGTTTAGTGAATATGTTCTGATTTTATCAATATTATTAGAGAAATACAATGTATTCAGACTGGTCTAAGAAGCAAAAAAAAAAAGTCTTTAACTGAAATTTACTCTTTCATGTGTGAGTAGAGGGAAGTAAATGCTTGGAATATCTTAATTTTCCAAATCCAAACTAGAATAATACAACCAAAGAAGAAAGCCTGTGACTTTTTGATAGTTTTAATAATGTTAATTTTTTTTTAAATGTTGTTTATATGCTATTGATAGCTAATATGGTGGAAATAGCAAGAAACTGGGAATCAAGAGACCTGATAATGAATATTTGCTTTACTATTACTCAGTTGTGTGACCTTAGGCAAGTCATTTTCCAGTAAGAATTTTGGAGTAGTTAAGATCTCATATGCTTACTAGCTCTAACTTCTATGAGTACCTTTATGTGTAAGTGATAATGCCTGAAATGATATCTTCATTCTATCACCTTTTAATTTCAATAATAATAATAACTTATTTATTGCATTTTAAAGTTTTCAAATCCCCTTTCCCAGAACAGTTTTGTTAAATAGATTTATCTTCATTTTACAGTTGGCAAAACTGAGGCTTATGGTCCTGATAGCTGCAGATAGCCAGCATTTGATCCCCAGGTCTTATGATTTGTGATTTTAAGTCTAGCAGCATGGTACAGTGGAATAAATAGTATTCTGTGTTTGAGTCATGCTTCTGACACTTCCTATATATGTGACCATGGGCAAGTCACTTAACTTCACTGAGCCTCAGTTTCCACATCTGTAAAATGAGGGTAGTAATATCTGTAGTGCCTATTTAAAGGATCATTTTGAGGCTGAAATGATCCAACAGAGGTAAAGCATTTTATAAAATAAATATGTTACAGATGTGTACCATTATTCTACTCTACCCTGTTACCTTGTCTTCAAAATACTTAACATTGGTTTGTGTAATTTCTTTTAGAGAAAGTTAAATGTTGCTCTTCATTTAGCAAATAATGAGCTCACATCTTATATTATCTGTGATTTTTGCAAAAAGTTCCATCAGTAGTATTGAATTTGAATCTACTTTTTGTCTTGAAACAAAACAGTAATCATTTATTTATCCAACCAATTTTAGATCATTGCTCCTACTTTTACTTCTTCTCCCTGATTTATCAGGGTAGGTGAGTTTGAATACTATTTGGTCCTCATTGCCACTTCCAGGCTCTCTCTCTGCCACCATCACTCAGTAACCTCTCTTTTGAAGTTTACTCAAACTGTATCTACCATCCAATCAAAATTCTTGTTACTGATGTGCACCAATTTCCCTTTCTTTCCTCAATGAATTCAATGCCTGGTGCACAGTCTTTTTCACCTCCCCCTCAACTCCTCATCAAATTGAACTTCAACATACATATAGATAACCTCTAGAACACCCTGACTTCACAATTAAGATTAACACCATCTTCTGATCACCCAGGCTCACAACCTAAGTGTAATCCTCAACTCCTCACTCTAAACCTAACCCCTCTCCCTTTCTAATCTGTTGCCAAATCCTGTCACATCTCTTGTACATACCCCCTTCTCTCTCCTGTCAGATTTTTCACCTTTCAAGTTAATCTTCTTAAAGTGCCCATCTGACCATTTCATCTCCTTTCTCTCTAACTGTTCCCCCACTCCCCCAAGCCCACCCTTGCATTCCAGTGGCTGTCACCTCCAGAATCAATACAATATCTTCTCTTTGGCAAAATCCTTCACAGCCTGGCTCCCTCCTACTTTTCCAGTCTTATACCTTATTTATTCCCCCCCCCACCCCCATACTTTGTGATTCAGTGACGCTGAATTCCATGCTATTCGTCCCACAAGATACTCCACCTCCCAACCCTGGGCATTCTTATTGGCTCTTCCCTATGGTAGGTATACTTATTCTCACTCTTTCCTGATTCCCCCTAGTGCCTTCCCTATATTGATTACTTCCAATTTATCCTTAATATATCTCGTTTGTACATAGTCGTTTTCTTGTTTGCTCCTCCATTAGATTTTGAGGTTTTCAGGGACAGGGACTATCTTTGCCTTTCTTTGTATCTCCAGTGTGTAACACAATGCCTGACACAAAGTAGATGCTTAATAAATGCTTATTTATTGACTAACTGAACAAAAACCATGCATTTGCAAAACCATGTAGACTTTTAAATTAAGAGGAATTAGGAACAAACAGAATTGGAAAACCTTTTCAGAAGTTTTATTCAAATACTTAGATCCAATCCTTGATGTTCACTCTTTCTTGAGGAAACTTTTGGTGGTGCCTGCTCTTGATTATTGTATTTATTTAATTTTAATTAATATTTCCTTTACAAAAGAAAACAAAACAAATTGCTTGACAAGATTTTATTTTCTTAATAATCTTGGGGGGCAGCTAGGTGGCGCAGTGGATAGAGCATCAGCCCTGGATTCAGGAGAACCTGAGTTCAAATGCGGCCTCAGACTCCTAACACTTACTAGCAGTGTGACCTTGGGCAAGTCACTTAACCCCTTTGCCTAGCGCCTCCCCCTCCCAAAAAAAAGATTTATAATCTTGTAAAGAAATATGTTATATGTAATTGTTTCAACCATGATAGTTGGCTTTGCATAGTAACTATAATTTATCTTGATATGAAGTATTAACTTATTTTTGTAACTTTATGGGAATGTGTTGATAGCACTGTGAAGTTTTTTGCTTTATAGACTTGTTTTGGGCCAAATGAGAATTAAATTAATTTCAAAGTGTAGTGTACTCTTGTCCTAAATAGCCAGAGGGGGACACAATCTGACATTCTCATTACCCAGGCATATGACATTCTTAGCATATGCCTCTGGCCTTTTGCCTCTAGTTTTTTGATGTATTTCTTGAATATACAGTGCGGCTCAATGCCTGCAGGATTGAGTGTGCCAGAATTTTTATCTGTTACAGTTCTAGCAATTCTGATTTCAGGCATTGCTCAGTTTTACTGATCTCTTTGCATGTTGTTGCTCTCATTAGACTATGAAATCCTTGAGAAGGAGATAACTGTTTTTTGCCTTTCTATCCCTAGCACTTAGTGCAGTGCCTGGTGCGTAGTTGATGTTTAATAAATACTCATTGTAATAAATACTTACTCAGTTTTAAGATTTTGTTCAGAAAACTGATGCAGGAGCCAGGTCCACTTTCTAGACTTGCTCAAACCCTGTTATGCCCAGTAGATGAGGGATTATGAATTCCTAAGGTGGATCCTAAGCATAATCTTTTCTTTATTCAGGGCCAGTGGGAGAATAACTTCAGAGCCATACAATTAAAAAAGTAGCTTATTTACTGAGTTTGGTTTTAGAAATATAAATATTCTATTCAATCTATTTTTAAGAACTGAAAGCATAAAATTCTATTTCAGAGTTAAAATAATCATATACCACTTATGTCATAGTTAAGGGAAGAATAACAGCCACTTTATCTTTATCTGACACTTTAAGGTTTTCAAAGGTTTTCCATACATTATCTCATTTGACCTTGACAAAGTCCTGTATAGTAGGTCTAATAGATACTGTTAACTTCATTTTGTAGATCAGGAGTTTGAAACCCATAGATAATTGATTTGCCTATGGTCATTCAACTAGTAGATACTAGAGGCAAGATTCAAACCTAGGTCACATCTAACTCTTACGTCCAGCATTCTTTTCACTGTACCAAATTGGGTAGAGTATTAATAGAGAGGAAGAAAAAGAGACATGTTTTGTGATCTTTTACTATATTGCCATCAAAGAATTTAAAATTTGTGCTGTATTTTCATGCCTTTAAGGCATAAATGAGCACATCATGGTTTGGAACTTGCCCCACGGTTTTGATGAAATCAAACCAGAAGCTATCTCTTGCCTGTGGGCTGGAGGTTCCTCACCCTTGTTCAAAGAGTTGGTAACTACCATTCAAAGCAATTTTCTGACCAAAATACAGGCTGTAAACTCCCAAGTTACAGTAGTGCTATTTACGAAGTATATCAGAAATATTTGCTGTGGACCTTTTGCTAACATTTAAAAACAAAGTACTCTGTTTCTATTTATTGTGTATTTTTAGAGTATCTCAGATGTGTCAAACATTCTTTTCTCTGCCAATTGACTTGTTTAATTATCTTGAATATAAAGGAACTAATTGCTTTTATTTGGTTATTTTTTAAAAATTTGGGTTTTTTTTATTTATTTGGTTTAACTAGCTGGTAAATAGGTAGAATTATTTCTACTCTATTCTTCATAACAAAATTTCTATAGCCACAGTTATACATATTTCATGAATCAACCATAAGTATTATTACAGTGGAATTAATTGATTGATCTCTTAAATACACAAAGAGAGGCTCCCCTAATGAAGTTAGGGATAGTTCAGAATTCCATTTGGCATATAGAAATATAGCCGGGAAATGAGCTGCATAAAAATAGAACCTCCTTTTTGAGTTAATAGACTCACCATTTGCTTTGGGCTGATCTAATTCAACACTGATTAGCAAAAAAGAATTGGAAGCAGAATTGTAGGGTCTCACAGTATTGAGACTCTAGATAATTCAGTTTTTCTGATCTACCTGTGATCTAATGTTGCTTTAGAAGAGAAACACTTAGACCTTTGAAAATAGAGTACTGGAGGAATATAAGAGTAAATATTTGTGAATTTGAATTTAGCAGTTTTTATACTAGATGGGTTGTCTTGATCTTTATTGTCATGTACTTAGCCTTTTATATGGAGCTAATTCTCATGGAATTGCAAACCATCAAAATAGTGGAGAAATATCTTAAAATAGAAAATTTAAAAAAAGTTACATTAGCTATGGATGTATAATAATTGTTGGAATTTATTCAGGAAATTGTGATCCTGAACTTTGTTATTGTATCTTACCATTCATAAACCCATCATAGAATCTATCTAGTGTTTTTATTTGTAATGAAATCAAGTTTAACCTGCATTTTTGTTTTGCCTTCCGTTCTGAAGTGGTGAATTCAGTATAGAGCTGGTTAGGAAGTGACTTAATTCCTTTAGAAGGGAGGAGCAAAATGTTTGTTTTGCTCTACATTCTTATTTTTTTCTGATGGAGGCAGGACACAGTATGTACATGGCTTAGACAGATCCCACTTCCTGTCTGTTACTATTCATACATATCTTTGTGCCTTCACTTACCACAGACTGCCTCAGCTTATCACAAAATAAAGGACAGAAATCTGGATTTGAAGGTATTTAAATTATATTAATTTAGTTTAAAAATATTGAAAAATATATCCTGTATTACCCCAGATGCATTGGTGGCTTCTTGGGACTTGGTGTCTGAAAGACCTGGATTTAAATGCAGCTTTGGATGTTTATTAGTCTTGTGTGTGACTGTGGGCAGCTCTTAACGTCTCTGGGCTTTTGTTTCTTCATCTTTATAATTGGGACAGAAATAGCAACTGCCTTACAGAGTTGTGAGGATCAAATAGGGCAATGTATGCAAAGCATGTTGCAAACATTAGAAATGCTATAAAGATAAAAGTTACTATTATTTTTATTTTGTTCTTATTTTTTGATGGGCTTCAGTTTTACCATGGGTTCTTAATCTTTTTTGTATTATAGACCCTTTAGGCATTCTGAAACCTATGGACCCTTTCTTTATAAGTGAACAAAATAAAATACATAGACTTGCAAAGGAAACTAATTCTATTGAAAAAAAATATACTTATCAAAATATTTTAACATTAAAATAATTTTACAGACCCTAGGTTAAGAACTCCTGATAGAAACAGACTATCTTGGGGCAAGTTGCTATCCTCTTTTATTCTTTTGTATTTAATATTCTGAAGACTATTTTACAAATGGATAAAATTACTACTTTTTTATTTTTAAATGGGATGTAAACTTATTCTCCTTTAGGTTTACTGAAAGAAACCATTGTTGATACAATTCTACAGTCATAATAGGTACTTCATTCTCTCCTCACCTGATTTTGATCTTCTTGGCCAAGTGTCTCTATTTTGAAAACTTTTTATTTCTTCATTTGGGACTTGCATTAAAAACTTTTTTTCAGTTTTTAGAAATCAGTCTGATGTTATATCCAGAGCATTGTGGGTAACAATTTGGTTGGTCTCTTATAATGGTCTGGTTCCAACATAGTTTATTGATGTTCTCTAGGATATTTTGAGGTCTATATTTGTAATATGGAGATATGTCATCCATCAGTCATAAAAGATCATGAACTTATGGTGTGTTATTCTAACTACCAGTTCTTGATACATATTCAGTATATACTTAATTTTTATAACCAGTATTGATGTGTTGTACTGTTTCTACCATTTCATTACATAATGTACGTGGCTTACTAAATCTGTCCTGCTTAAGGATAACCCTTTGGCGGTTTCTTGTGTCAGTGGTCCCAATTTAAACCTTTCATTTTCCATATTGTTATTATCAGCATATAGTCAATAAGCATTTATTAAGTGCTTACTTTGTGCCAGGCACTGAGTTAACTTTTGTAGATACAAATACAAGGAAAAAGTAAAATAGCACGTGCCCTTAGGGAAACTAACATTCTAATGAGGGAAGACTACAAATAAAAGGAAGCTGAAAAGAAGGGGGTTTGGGAAGAAACCTTCTGAGGCATAGGGAGAGGAATTGTGGAAAAAGCAGTCCGGAGAGTCATGAGCATCCCAGAAAAGAAGAAAAGAGTGAACTTGGCTGACCTGGGCACTTCTCCTTAAAATGGAGGTTCCCAAAAGAGCTGACCAATCAGAGGAAGGAGTTGAAGGGATTGGGTGAGAAGGCTGCTGGATATGGTAGGGAATGAAGTCCAGAGTGGACTCCACTCAACTGTGGAGTGGAGGCCAGAGAGGAATGCAGGATTGAACCATTAATCATTAGGCTTCTGCCCACTTAGCCTACTCCTACTTTTATGTCTAGTGTCTGCCCAGCCTTTTTTTTTTTTAACATGTCCAATTAGATTTCTTTTCCAGTAATTTCATTATTAAAAAATCTCTCTACTATTTCTGATGGAGATGAGAGGTGCATTGAACTTTGTCTGGGCTTTTATGCTCCATTAAAAAAAAAGTGGAAGTTGCCTAGAGGAAGACTTAGGAATTAAAGCTTTGTTTCTTTGGGTGAGTTTTTTTTTCCCTCCTTAGGAGTTGAGTCTAGTGTTAGAAAAACAGCCCCATTTTATCAGAAATAAATTTATTTTCTTCTTCCCCTCCTGCCCCTCCCTTTATAGAAATACTAAGTTTCTAGTAAGGTTACTATTTAAAACAACATGCATACCCATGTTGTAAACTTTGTAAATGTGCTTTATCCCCATTAGTTAACATATGCATATTTTCTTTGAAGTGGTGGTTCATTTTTTTATTTATTTAATCCAGCAATTTATGGAACTGATGTTAAGTTTTTGTTTATGAAATGAGAGGTTCTTATAGTTAACACTGGATAGGTGTTTTATCATTGACTTATCCAAACTACCTAGGCATTTTTTCCTTTATTAAGAATTTATGCTATTTTTATTAGAGAGCTGCTTTACATCATATTTTGCAACTGTTATAATTAATAATAGCATTGCAGATCAAGTGCCCAATTCATTAGTACTGCTTGTTAAAAAAAGCTCTAATGATAATTTTGCTGTTTGTAAATCAACAGGTTCGTCATAAAGAGTCACAGAATGTTTATGCCATGAAGCTTCTTAGTAAATTTGAAATGATAAAAAGATCAGATTCTGCTTTTTTTTGGGAAGAACGAGATATCATGGCCTTTGCTAATAGTCCCTGGATTGTTCAGGTAAGCACAGTATACTCGGTAATTTGAATCATACATAAGAACGCATATTTTGTTGTTTGCTGAAACTCCAATATGATTATGCTTGTTGTATGATATTTATAAAGTTTCAACACTGAAGTTTAATGTTAACAAGATTTGACACATTAAGCCATCTTTAATGCTTCCCTGGCAGTATCTTATAGTATCCTTTATTACTGTTTCTGAAATAAAAAGGCCAAATTTAGAAACCTGAATTTTAAATGAGATTTTAAAATTATGTCTGTAATTATTGGGATGGAGGAGAATAATGTCATATAGATAATTTTAAAATATTTTCGAACACTTAAAATTAACTATATTTGTTCTCTCCTCCCAAAAAATTACGTTTTAATTTATATTATTGAAACAGTTGATCATACATCAGTTGAATTTTATAGGTATTTGTGAAGTGCCTGCTGTGTATACAGAATGTTGTGTTATGTATTAGATTAGATATAAAGTTAAATAAGATATACTTTTTGCTTTCCTGGAATTTACAGTCCAGCAAAGGAAATATGAAACTCGGAACTGTTATAAAATAATGCATGAAAATGATGGTACATGCAAACATTTTAGCTGAGAAATGGTTCAGAAGTATGATGAGTGCCAGGGAAATCCAATATAGGATTAAAAATATGCTACAAAACTGAGTAAAATAAATAAAGGAACATTACCAAGCTTTTTTTCTCTCTTTTTTTTCTTGCTTTATTTCAGCTGTTAACACAGTGCCTGTCACATAGTTGTCACTTAGTTAATGCTTACTGAATTGACCTTTCTTTGTAGCGTATGAATAGGAATTCTTATAGTCAGAAGCATCTATTACAATTAAATGTTTTAGGAAGATACACACACATACACATATACACACACAGTGGCTGGCAAAGGTGGGGGTTATTGTAAGAATATTTTATATTTATATGGATCAGCGAATTACTTTTTTCTGTTTTTTGGTCACAGACTGTTCCATTAACCCTAGCCTACTGTCATAAATTGATCGCTTTGGTGATTCGTTCTTAGTTCAACATTTATTGAATGTTTACTGTGGGGAAAACATAGTATTGGCTGCTGATTGCCATATAAAAACAATTGAATAATAGTAACCTTCCCCTCCTTTGATGTATAGCCTGATAGCATTCATAGTACTGTCATGTACCTCCTCATTTGATCTCCATAGTAACCCAAGGTGGTAGGCGAGGCTCTGATTGGAAGAACAAAAAAAAAGAAAAACAACAACATAGGAGGTCAGATGGAAGAGAAAGAGGGAAAATGAGTCTTTTAACTAGTGAGGGTTAACTTACCACCTCCCAAGGTATCGCAATACACTTTTGGATAGTACTAATTTTTAGAAGTTTTTCCTTACTGCAAGGCTAAATCTACATCTCTGTAGTTTCTATCTACTGAGTACACTGTCATTTTTGGTCACAAATAAGTCAAAGTTAGTCGTCATCATAAAATAAGAAAATTAAGGATGTATTACAGGCACATTCCCTTATTATCCCTTCAGTTTTTAGGGGGAATTACTGTTAGGCGGTAATCATTCCTAATTGACTTTATTGAACATTAGACTGTTACACATACTGAAGATAAAGAGCAACGCCCTATTGGAAGCTGTAGGCATATAGCATGAGTTTTTATTTCTTTCATGATATTCCTTTTTTTTCCTATTACTTTTAAAAATACCTACAACTCTAATAACATGTATAAATAATAATAACATTTATATGGTGCTTTAAGGTTTACAAGGTATTTTAGATACTTTTAATTTATTATGGAAATATTTAGTTATGGAAATAATGTATTGCAAAGAAAAGTTATATCCTCTCTTATGAATATTACCCCCACCAAAACCAGAAAAACTTACTGGGCCTGTAATTCTTTATGATAGGAATTTTTAAAAATACTAGATTACTATGGTCATTTCCTACTGTGTCTTGTGTATCTAATCTAGTCTACTGATCCATCACTGTATTTCTTAGCCAGTACCAGAAAGTTTCAATGATTATCACGTCATAATACAGTTTGAGATCTGGTATGGCTAGGCCACGTTCCTTCACATTTGTTTTTCATTAATTCCCTTGATATTTTTGACCCTTTGTTCTTCCAGATTAATTTTGTTATGATTTTTTTCTAGCTCTGTAAAATAATTTTTGGTAGTTTGATTGGTATGGTACTGAATAAGTAACTTAATTTAGGTAAAATTGTCATTTTTATTGTATTGACTCAACCTACTCATGAACAATTGATATTTTTTAGTTGTTTAGATCTGACTTTATTTGTATGAAAAGTGTTTTGTAATTGTGTTCATATAGCCCTTGGGTTTGTCTTGGCAGACTCCCAAGTATTTTATATTGCCTATGGTTATTATCTTAAATGGAATTTTTCTTTCTATTTCTTGCTATTGGATTTTGTTGATAACATATAGACATACTTATGGGTTTATTCTATATCTTGCAACTTTGCTAAAGTTGTTAATTATTTCAACTGGTTTTTTTAGTTGATTCTCTAGGATTCTTTAAGTGTACTATCATATCATCTGCAAAGAGTGATAGTTTTGTTTCCTCATTGCCTATTCTAATTCCTTCAATTTCTTTTTCTTCTCTTACTGCTATAGCTAACATTTCCAGTACAATATTGAATAATAGTGGTGATAATGGACATCCTTGATTCACCTCTGATCTTACTGGAATGACTCTTAACTTAGTTCTATTTCAGATAATGTTTGCTTTTGGTTTTAGATAGTTACTACTTTTCCTTTTAAGGAAAGCTCCATTTATTCCTATGCTCTCTAGTGTTTTTTGATAGGAATGGGTGTTGTATTTTGTCAAAAGTGTTTTCTGCCTCTATTGTGATAATTTTATGATTTCTGTTGGTTTTGTTATTGATATAGTACATTGTTTGTTATATGATATGGTCAATTATGCTGCTAGTATTCCTAATGTTGAACCTGGTATAAACCCTCCCTGGTCATAGTATATGATCCTTGTGATAAATTGATAGATTGCTGTAATCTCCTTTCTAGTATTTTATTTAAAATTTTTGTTACTGCTATTCTTTTAAAGTTGAATACATGCAAATTCATTCAGTAAATATTAATTGAATATTGGCTGTGGATTTTATGCCTGCCTTTCCACATCCACACTTTTTTCCAAAGTGCTTCTGTTGAAAAAAAAAAAATGGTTCATTATCTTCCCCCAAAAGGGCAATGATTGATTTATGTTTTGAATGTAAGCTTATAGGAGGGGCATATACAGAAGTTTTGTGTTGTACAGATTGGGTTGTGGTATTTTTTTTTTCCCCACATAGAAACAGAACAAAATAAGACATGTCCAAATCTTAGGACAAAAGATTGAAAAATAATTTTTTCATTGTGTATTTTTAACCAATTATTTGTTTTTCTCAGAAGTAATTGTAGTATATCTTTCACTTCTCTTTTTTTCCAGCTCTTTTGTGCCTTTCAAGATGATAGCTATCTTTATATGGTAATGGAATACATGCCTGGTGGAGACCTTGTAAACCTTATGAGTAACTATGATGTACCTGAAAAATGGGCCAAATTTTACACAGCTGAAGTTGTTCTGGCTTTGGATGCAATACACTCCATGGGTTTAATACACAGAGATGTGAAACCTGACAACATGCTTTTGGATAAAAATGGACATCTGAAATTAGCAGATTTTGGCACTTGTATGAAAATGGATGAAGTAAGTATACAACTAAAATTGTTACACTTTGCTGATAAGTGTAAAACATGTTAAGTAAAATTTTAGAAATATAAACATACATTGCTTAGCAATTCAGTTAATAATTTCTTTCCTTTTTGACATAACTTTGGGGCATTGGAGGCCTGGTTGTAGGTAAGTTTGTTATTAACTATACACATTTTAAGTTCCCTTGAGAAGGGAAGAGAAAGGAGAAAATATTGTCAGTGGCCAGTTTCCTCTTCCATGAAAGCCAGTGTGCCAACTATTGTTTACATTGTTTTACATGAGTAAGAAGATATTATATGTACTTAAATAAAAGAGGCTCTCAACCTACATATCGTAAAACACTCATTGTGCATGTGTTTTATTTTCACTGACTGTCCTCCATGCCTGGAATTCTTTCCCTCCTCATCTCCATCTTGTGGCTTCGAGTCCCATTTAAAATCCTACTTTCTACAACAAATCTTTCCAGCTCTTCCTTAATAATATTGCCTTACCTCTTTTGACTCTCCGCAATTTATCCTGTATATGTCTTGTTTCAACGTAGTCATTTTCCTGTTGTCTCCCCTGTGAGACTGTGTGAACATTTTCAGAGCAGGGACTGTCTTTGTCCTTTTTTTTTTACTATCCCTAGTACTTAGTATGGTGCCTGGCATATAATAGGTATTTAATAAATATTTGTTGACAGACTGCCCTATCTTTATCCTAACATCCTTATGCCAGCCTTTTGGCCTTTTTGAAAACTTGTATGTTGCTGCCCCAGTTTTATGTGTTGTGGATTCAGTTTTATGTCATCTTATATGTTCAGTCTTTTAATGTCTGTGCCTGGGACATAGACTTCACAAAGAAGCTACTGTTCTTACTTTAATTCCTGACAGTGTGTCTTTACTCGTGAATTGTAGCTAGGTTAAACTTTTTCCACAGACCTGTTTGATTATCTTCACTTTGCCTTGTATGTATCTTAGCTGTTCATGGTTGCATGTTGTTTCCCACTTCGGAGGGCAGAAACTGTTTTTGCCTTTTTTGTATCCCGTGTATTTTGCACCGTAGTTGGCACATAGCAAGTTCTTGGTAAGAGCTTCTTGACTATGTGCCAGAAACTGTACTAAGTGGTTAAGATACAGAGATTAAGATTGTCATAGTCTCCATTAGCAAAAACAAGGTGACTGCTTGTCTTCCTGCTAGAGTAAAAGGAATATGTTTCAAGGAATGTGAATTTGGCTGGACCACCTTTGAAGGTCTCTTCAAACTTAGCGTTTCTAGGGATAAGAAATTATTATTGTTATAGCTCACATTTATTACTTGTTCACAGAATAATAATAATGGTAATAATGACAATAGATAAACTAAATCTAAAATTTGCTTTAATTTGGAAAATAGTTTATCAGTCCTTTGCCAAAGACAGATTTTTTTCATTTTTCATTTTTTTAAATTTTTAAACAATTTTTTTGGGGGGGGGTGATTATTTTTAGTTTTCAACATTCACTTCCACAAGATTTTGAGTTCCAAATTTTCTCTCCATCCCTCCCCACCCCCCACCGCATGAAGGCATGCATTCTGATTACCCCTTCCCCCAATCTGCTTTCCTTTCTATTACCCCCTCTCCCCCTGCCTTATCTTATCCCCTTCCACATCAATTTTCCTGTAGGGTAAGGTGGATTTCTATACTCCATTGCCTGTGTACCAAATTTCCCAGCTGCATGTAAAAACAGTTTTTAACATTCATTTTTAAAACTTTGAGTTCCAAATTTTCTCCCTTCCTCCCTTCCCACCCACCCTCATTGAGAGGGCAAGCGATTTGATATAGGTTATACATGTGTAGTCCTGCAAAACACTTCCATAATAGTTATGTTGTAAAAGACTAACTATATTTCCCTCTATCCTATCCCACCTGCCATTTATTCTGTTCTCTCCTTTGACCTTGTCCCTGTCCCTCCTCAAAAGTGTTTGCTGCTGATTACCTCCTCCCCCCGTCTCCCCCCCTTCCCCCCTGCTTTCCTGTAGGGTAAGATAGATTTTCATACTCAGTTGAGTGTGTATATTATTACCTCCTTAAGCCAAATCTGATGAGAGTAAGGTTCACTCTTTCCCTCTCACCTCCCCTCTTCCCCTCTACTGTAAAAGTTTTTTCTTGCCTCTTTTATGTGAGATAATTTATCCCATTCTACCTCTCCCTTTCTCCAGTACAATTTCCTCTCTCACCCCTTAATTTTCTTTTTTAGATATCATCTCGTCATATTCAACTCACCCTGTGCCTCCCTCCAACTACCCTAATACTGAGAAAGGTCTCATGAGTTACAAATATCATCTTTCCATGTAGGAATGGAAACAGTTCAACTTTAATAAGTCCTTGGTGATTTCTCTTTAGTCTTGTATTTGAAAGTCAGATTTTTTGTTCAGCTCTGGTCTTTTCATCAGAAATGCTTGAAAATCCTCTCTTTCATTGAATGTCTATTTTTCCCCTGAAAGATTATACTCAGTTTTGCTGGGTAGGTGATCCTTGGTTTTATCCTAGCTCCTTTGACCTCTGGAATATCATATGCCAGGCCTTCCGATTCCTTGTTGTAGAAGCTGCTAAATATTGTGTTATCCTGATTATGTTTCCACTATACTTGAATTGTTTCTTTCTGGCTGCTTGCAATATTTTCTCCTTGACCTGGGAACTCTGGAATTTGGCTATAATATTCCTAGGAGTTTTCTTTTTAGGATCTCTTTCAGGAGGTGATCAGTGGATTCTTCCACTTTCTTTTTTACTCTCTAGTTCTAGAATATCAGGACAGTTTTCCTTGATAATTTCTTGAAAGGCCCTGTTTTTGATCATGGCTTTCAGGTAGTCCAGTAATTTTAAAATTATCTCACCTGGATCTATTTTCCAGGTCAGTTGTTTTTTCCAATGAGATATTTCACATTGTCTTCCATTTTTTTTCATTCTTTTGGTTTTGTTGTATAATTTCTTGATTTCTAATAGTCATTAGCTTCCATTTGTTCCATTCTAATTTTTAAGAAATTATTTTCCTCAGTGAGCTTTTGGATTTCCTTTTCCATTTGGCCATTTCTCTTTTTAAGGCCTTCTTCTCCTCATTGGCTTTTTGGACCTCTTTTGCCATTTGGTCTAGTTTATTTTTTAAGGTGTTATTTTCTTCAGTATATTTTTGGGTCTCTTTTAGCAAGCTGTTGACTTGTTTTTCATGATTTTCTTGCGTCACTCTCATTTCTCTTCTCAATTTTTCCTCTACTTCTCTTATTTGCTTCTCAAAATCCTTTTTGAGCTCTTTCATGGCCTGAGACCAATTCTTATTTTTCTTGGAGGCTTTGGATATAGGAGCTTTGACTTTGTTGTTTTCTTCTGATTGTATGTTTTGATCTTCTTTGTCACCAAAGTAAGATTCTATAGTCTGAGGTTTTTTTCTCCATCATTTGCTTATTTTCCCAGCCAGTTACTTGAGTTTTAAACTCTTTGTTAAGGTAGGGATCTGCTTCCAGTGTGGAGGGTGTACTGTCCCAAGCTTCAGGGATTTTGTGTAGCTGTTTTCAGAGATACTTCTAGGGACCAGTAAGTTTTCAGTTCTTCCAAAGTGGTATGATCTAAGGAGGGATATTTGCTCCTCTCTTGGTCTGTGCTCTGGTCTGTGAGTGACCACAAGCACTCTTTTCTGTCCTGCAACTGTGAGGAGGGTTCCCTCTCCATTGTTGCCATAAGTGCTGCTATGCCAGTGCTCCTCCTCACCCCAGGACTGCCTCCCAGGACTGTGACCCAGATCCAAGAATGGGCAAAGCAACAGAATCCTGCCACAGTTCCAGGAAAGGGATCCCTGTAATCTCCTTCTTATCGGTTGTTTGATACCCTTACCATCTGTGGGCTGAGAGCTCCAGAAGCAGCAGCCTTTGCTGCCACCACCACCTCTGCTGCCGTTGCAGCTGCCCTGTGGCTGGGATTAGACCAGGCTCTTCTCTCATGCAGGTCCAGCAGATCTTTCCCACTGACCTTCTAAGTTGTCTTGGGTGTTTGTGGGTTGAGAAGTCTGGAAACTGCCACAGCTGTCTGCAGTTCAGTCCCTGGAGGCCTGTTCTTGGTTTACTGGGGCCTGGTCTGTTCTCGCGTGGACTGTATTCCTCTTCTAGCCTGGTGCAACAGACCTTTCCCAGTTGTCTTGGGCTGGAAATTTGTTTCACTCTGTCTTTTTTGTAGGTTCTGCTGCTCTAGAATTTGTTTAGAGTTATTTTTTGCAGATATTTGGAGGGATTTGGGGGGGAGCTCAAGCAGGTTCCTTCTTTGACTCTGCCATCTTGGCTCCGCCCACCAGTCTCCAATCTTATGGCATTTCTCCCATTCTCCATGGTTTTTCAAAGTTCATATATACAAATCTATCAATATTGGGAATATAATTTGTCCAGGCTGGATACTTGAACTAATTTAAAGCAGACGTATATCCTCTTACAATGTATTTCCTTACCTACTCAGGTCTTCAATTCTGTCTCAACCATATTTGTTCTTCCTTTTCGATTGAAAGTCCATTCTCTTTGATAGAGGGAAGACAGAATCAAAAAAGAAATTGAATAATGGGAGAGATGTAACTTTCGTTCATCTTTCCTTGAAGTATGCATGTGTTCTAAAAGGCATAAAATCACTCAGTCCGTGATTTCCAAGAGTAGCCAGAGTTTCTTTGGCATCGATTCCTAGATAATGTGTTCCCGTTGCTGCTCTTGATAGATGGTTGTCAGAGTTTCCAACTTGGTCAGAGTGTTCATAAAATTCTCTGGACCCAGGAGTGCTTAGAGGAATAATCCTTCAGAATCTCCAAATATGAACTTCAAGTTCAACATATCTGTAACAATATTTTGACAACTGTAGATGTTCTGAATGAAATATGCAAGGATTACTTGGAGGGATGGTCCTTCATTGGAGTCTCTAAACTAGGAGAACAGTGAAATCATCTGCAAGGATATTCTAATAACCATGGATATTCTGAATGTAAAAGTCAAATCATGTATTGAATGAC